ATACATTATTACAAACAAAATATCACCATACTACACAGTATGAGAGCGTCCCTTCTCCCGGACTTGTTGCTTTGGGGTCGCTAACTTCCAGGTTGGCCGAGAAATAAACCCCATCACCTGTTTAAACACGTTAACACTCCTGAGACTGGTCTCCACCTGTGGGAGGTGTTTTTACACCGTCCTGCAGCAGCTCTCTGGAAGGTTGGATGCTGTAGCCAGTGACCGCCTTTGTACTCCAAACCAAAAACCTTCCATTGTTGTACTCGGGAAACAATACAGAGACCAGCAGTTTCTAAATAAATAATTAAAACATATAACAGCACATCGTCTGCAAACGTGAGCACAGAACTGGAGATCTTTGTGTGGGGATCAGGAAGAGAAGAAGTTGTTATTCCAGTAGGATTTATGCAGTTTTCACTGAGCTGTTGTGATCACACATCTGGATTAAATAAACTAATCCTGTGATTGGTCTGTGCAGTTGACAGTTTACTTGGGAAAGCGAGACTTTGTGGACCACCTGGACCACGTGGACCCAGTCGGTGAGTCTGGACTCGTTTGTGTTTGTTTTGGAGTTTTTAGGGAGCACGGCTGCTGAGGTGCAGTCCTATATTTACAGGACTGTTTGTCTTCCTTCCTGCCAACAGATGGCGTGATCCTGGTCGACCCAGAGTACCTGAAGGACAGGAAAGGTAGGCGAGAACACCTGCACACATGTACAGGAACACGCTGAGACTTTACTGCAAGATCTAAACGTGAAGTCTATAAAGCAAATGTCTCATCAGCCAATCATGTGGCAGAGTGTGCTGAAGCCAACGGTGCAGCGACTTTGACTTGTTGCCGTGTGTAAATAAACGAGAGTAAAATCCTTGAGCCCGTGTTGTTTCATCAACTTCCTGCTGACCTTTCTGTTCAGAGCTGAAGCCTTTGATTAATGACTTCCTGTTTATTTCTCAGCGAGTTCATTTATTAAAGACACAAACGTCTCGTTTCTGTCTGTTTACTGTTAAACAGCTGTTTCACAAATGTTGAATACAAAACAGACAAAATGACCTTTGTTTACATAATGAGCAGTTTCTGTACCTCTGACTGTATGTCAAGAGTTGGAAAAACAGATAAATGACTGTTTGCCTGAACGTTGTTTTTAATGTTGCTACACAAACATCAGCCAACAAACCCAGAAAGCAGCTCAGCTCTTCTCCTGCGTCTCCTGTCGTATCGTCACTGGTGGCAGATAATCACTGTGAGCTCTAAACAACCAGTTTATCACAGCCTCTTACACTCGTGGACCTGCGTGATGTCACAGTGAGATGTCAGAAGTGCTGTTGTTCAGTTGCAAAGGGCAGCCAATCAAAAGCATGATGCCTCAAAGGGGGAGGAGCTTCATCTCTGTGTCAGAGATGAGCTGTAAGGTTATTATTCTGATGATTCATGGACTCATTTCACTGGTGTAACGACGCTGTTTATCTGCATCGATGATTTTTAACAGTTTTAATGTTTCATTGATTTTAATGAATGACTCATTCAGATAAGCTGCAAACAGCCTCTTCTTCCTCCCCACAGTCTTCGTCACGCTGACCTGTGCGTTCCGATATGGACGCGAGGACCTGGACGTGCTCGGTCTGTCCTTCCGGAAGGATCTCTACATCTCCACCTTCCAGGTGAGCTTCATCAGCTCCGCCCGAGCAGAAAGTTGAGTACTTTTAAAGATCGGCTGTTCTCACTGTCGTCTCTCTCGCCGTCAGGCCTTCCCTCCGGTGCCCGAGGAGCGGAAACCCAACAGCCGGCTGCAGGAGAGGCTGCTGAAGAAGCTCGGCCAGCACGCACACCCCTTCTACTTCACCGTGAGTCCCTGCTCCTCCTCGGGGCTCCGTCTGTGGAGCTCGTGGTGAAGCTTCACAGACGCCACCGTGGTTTTATTTTTAGCTCAGACGCCGCGTCTTTATATGGTGTTTGAAGTGAAATACGCTCCATGTGAGTCTGTGGGCACTGACTCACTGCTGCAGCCCCTGCTGGTGATTAGAGGAACTGCAGCTGTAGGTTGAGGGAGTTGTGTACGGCGCGTCGAAGCTTTCTGCACGTGTGCAACATATATAAAATATGTAAGAAGAAGAACGGAGCTGTGTAACCAGGTGGGAGCTCAGGGCCTCGATGTAAACATTTAACAATGAGCATATTGATCTTTGTCATCAGTTCATTAGCCCGTGTTTACCCAGCATCCATTAGTGTCTGAACGCCGTCTGCTGTGGCCTGAAAAAGCAGATCATTTATAGCCCGCTGACCTCGTCTGGCGGCTCTTTCCTCGGGCTGCTTCAGCCCGCCGTCAATATCAGGACGAGCGTCAGACGTGTCTCGTGATGTTTGCTGATCGCCAGCTTCCTGAAATAAACAAGGAGATGCAAATGAGGAAGAAATGAGACTTTGACTTCCTGTTAGACTAGAAGTGACACACTGAAGGGCGTTTCCATCGCAGCGCAGTTCCCTGTGAGATCAAGAACCCTTTGAGGAACTCAGGAAGTCACTCATTTGTTCTGGCTTCCTCCTCCTTCACATACGGTGGAAGTTTAATTGCACTTTTTTACCTTCCTGGAACTTTTTGGTTGAAAGGGGTTAAATTTATCACATCTGCTCAGCAGGAGGACGTCCTGCAGGTCTCAAACCTGTGGCGTTTACTCTTATGTGCACAGATTATTTTACTCGATAAAGCACGTCTGAGAAAATATCTGAGCTTTATGGGAGCCTCGGATTCTTTACGAGAGTCGAGCTGAGCCAGGGCTGCTGGGAGGTTAAAGGTCGGCGCTCTGTGGGAAGCTTCATAAAAACGGGCTCTGTTGAGTTTGTGGTGTGGAAACAACGAATGAACAAACTGATTCTGACGTTCTCGTTCTTCTTCTTGTTTTCCAGATTCCTCAGAATCTGCCCTGCTCAGTCACTCTACAGCCCGGACCCGAGGACACCGGCAAGGTAACCGAACCCCCCAGCTGTGAAACGGCAGAGCACGGATGTCGTAAATTAGCTGTTCCCAAACGTCACACCTCAGTTTGAAATGTAAGTCTCTGTCTGGGTCCGCCCAAACCCGCCTGCCCGAGGGGATTCACAGGCCGGCCTCAGGGGGCCACATAGTGAATGCGAGGGTTACGTCAGGAAGGGCATCCGGTGGAAAATCTGTGCCATTCATCCGCTGTGAGTTCAGGGAGCAGCTGAAAGCACCGCCTCCTGATCGTTAACTCGATGCTTTAACGACGAGTTCAGTCTGAAACTGAAGGACGAGAAGTTTTCAGGTCCAGTAAATGATCTCAGAGCTGGAGCACCATCTCTGATCTGACGGAGGGTCTCCGCCCTGTTCACGTCGCATTCAGCGCCCCACCCTGCAGCTGTTTCAGCAGGACAATGCTCACGCCTGGGTCGGAGCAGAGCGGGCTCTCTGGATCGGACGGCGAGCCACGCACGTCCCAGTACGCTACATCGGCACAACCAGTAACTGCTGCACCCATCTGGTTCCTCCACAGCAGGTCAGCAGACGGGTGGATGCCCACGTCACGTTCAGAGGAGGTTTAAATAGATTTTAAAGACGTTTAACAATAGTCAGACTTAAACCCCACAGTCTGGTTTATTCCTTTTGATGAAATTTAAACTGAATTATTAAACCTGGCAACTCATTTCTTATCTGCGAAACGAGGAAAAAACACTCAGACTGACCAACTAGTCTGAAACTGAAACACTCAGATTTTAAGTTACAGCTGTGATCCACGCTGTTCCACATTTATCAAAATCATAAATCCTCCAGACATTTTTTTTCTTCTTCTGCTTACCTGAAGTGGGAAAGCCCAGACCTTCCTCCCTCCACTTCCTCCAGCTTCCTCCAGTGGGATCACGTGACCCAGGCGACAGCCTTAGCCGGCTCCACTCAGAGCCCGTCCAGCTTCTGGAGAAGCTCATCTCTGCTGCTGGGATTTGTGATCTCGTTCTAATAGAGTCCACAAAAGCTAACATGAAAGGATTTATGAAGCGCCACCTGGTGGCAGATGTCTGCATAACATTTAGGACACAAATTTTAACAGTTAGATTAAACAACTAGTGACAACAGCGGTGATTGGTCCACCAGTCGCACACATCCATAATAATAATAATAATAATAATAATAATAATAATAATAATATAGTGTCTTATTATTATAACAGCAGCATAACCTTTGCAGCTGACTCGAGTCCTGCTGGTGTTGGTGGTCTGACAGGTGATGATGCAGCTTTTACTGTGAGACAGGTGTGAGGCTGAGCTCTGCTCCGCTCAGGTTACTTCAGCTCGTACAAAGATGAATATTCAAACCCTCCTCCGTTCTGCAGCTGCGTGTTCGACTCTGAAGCGTCGCCGAGTTTGCGTGCGTCTGCAGACTTCCTGGTTTGTAGTTGTTTATTTTCTGCGTCAGGCCCTGAAACAGCGACAGGCGTCGTCATCAACATCGTAGCAGTGGATGTGAGCGCTCGGTCAACTAAACAACCTGTTTCCTGTCAGTGAGGGAACCGTTCCCATCACTGCCTTTTTTTCTTTCTACAAATGCAGCGTTCTGACCTGCAGAGCGTCCTTCAGGCCTGAACACGTGCACATCTTTCCTGAAACCTTTTTCATTCCTGATTAACAGCCTGACGTTCAGGAGCTTCTTCCAGCGTTGACATGTTTGGTTGTAAACGGGGAGTCAGATGATGTCGGTTATCTGCGAGGAGCGTCGCTGACAGGCTACGATTTACCGTAACGACCGCCTCAGACAGGCCGATAAACACGGCGTTGATTTTTAGCTGAAGCTGTTCCAGCGTCGCTCATAGCGGAGAGAGAGAGACGGGCGCAGATTCAAACAGAGCGAGCGGTCTGTTTATAAAACGGCTCGCAGCGCGTCAGCACAGTTGAGGCGTTTTTATAAACACGGTGGCGCTGAGCTGTCCTCTCCTCTTCCTGCAGGCCTGTGGTGTTGACTTTGAGATCAGAGCTTTCTGCGCCAAGTCGATGGAAGAGAAGATTCACAAGAGGTGAGTTCAGCCGATTTACGAGCTTCACTCAGGAGCTGCGTGGAGTTCAAACCAGAGTAGAAATAACTGAGTGGGGATTAGCTTTGGTCGTGTAAACATGAACATCCACCAGTGGAACAGGAAATAAAAGGTCCACTTTAAAGCTTTTCCTGTGTTTCATTGCAGTCTAAAGCCAGCCTGTACCCCAGCAGGCTTTTATTTTGTAGACTCACAGTACAGTCATCTACCAGAGGCAGTAAAATGTAGACTCAGTGTTTACTTTAGGACAAGAGAGGCTCGTCTGTCATACTGTGAGGCAGACGAGTCACCGAGCTGAAGCTTGTGCTGTCTGCAGGAACTCGGTGCGTCTGGTGATCAGGAAGGTTCAGTACGCTCCGGAGAAGCCCGGTCCTCAGCCGATGGTGGAGACCACCCGCAGCTTCCTGATGTCCGACAGGTCCCTGCACCTGGAGGCATCTCTGGACAAAGAGGTGCGCAAACAGCCCCGATACCCACAAACCAGTCCTTTGTTTTTATGCTAATAACGGTGTTCTGTGTGCAGCTGTATTATCACGGCGAGCCCATCAGCGTCAACGTCCACGTCACCAACAACTCCACCAAGACCGTCAAGAGGGTGAAGATCTCCGGTACGCATCTCTGAACTCTTCCTGCGCTTCTCTGCTCGCCGCCATGTTGTCAAAGTAACGCCTCCTCTGTTTGTCTTCCGCAGTGCGTCAGTACGCCGACATCTGCCTGTTCAGCACTGCCCAGTACAAATGTCCAGTGGCTCAGCTGGAGGCAGAGTAAGTGTCCCTGTCCCTGCATGCTGGTTAAACTGGTTTAAACCAGTGTTAATGAAAATGTGATTGTTAGAGTTAACCAGGCGAAACGATCTGAGCTGACAGAAGGTCGTTGATGTTCACACCTGTTTAATGAGATTGGTGGAGGGGCGGGGTTTACCTGAACAGTTTGACTGACAGCAGCGTCTGGTCTCCACAGCGACCAGGTGTCGTCCAGCTCCACCTTCTGCAAGGTGTACACTCTGACCCCGACACTGGACAAGAACAGAGAGAAGAGAGGACTCGCTCTGGACGGGAAGCTCAAACATGAAGACACCAACCTGGCCTCATCCACCATGTAAAACACAAACGCACACAGGTGTAACGCACAGGTGTGTTTGCATGGTCATGTGACCACAGTGCTCCGTGTGTGTTTCAGTGTGAAGGACGTCACCAACAAGGAGGTCCTGGGAATCCTGGTGTCCTACAGAGTCAAAGTCAAGCTGGTGGTGTCCCGTGGAGGGTACAGCAACACACATACACACTCTGCTGACATCACTTCCTGTCCTCTCCAGCTCACTGTTTCCTGTAGCTGTCATCAGTGAAGTTTGGAGGTGTTTTTATCTGCCAGACGTCACTCAGTGAAACGCCCGAGGCCGAGCTGCACCAGAACGTTTCCTACGCAACGGTCTGACGTTTGTCCACGTTTACATGGAAACGCCACACGTGTGGAGCGAGTCTCTGCATCATATTTGACTTAATGTACAAAAACAAACACGGCCCAGAGCTTGAGCTCAGACTCCAGGCAGCTGAGGGAGGCTTTACAAAGTCATCCTTTCACAATAAAAGCCTGTGAGAGCTTAATGAGTCCCTCAGCATCTGTCTAGGACCGTAGTCCTTTATCTACTGTCTGTCTCACCATTGGACTTTAAAGTCACATGACTTGTGATATTCACTGAGGGCGGCTGGAGGTGGAGCTAATTTGAGCATCTCTTCATTTTTTTTCACGGTTGGTTTAAAGACGATTTTCTCGTTTTTCGGGTGTTTTATTCAGAAAGAGCTGCAGGTGCAGCTCGGCCGCCACTTCCTGCTTCCTGCTCCGCCCTGTTGGCTCGTTGCTGTCGTTGCTCCTCACTGTGTTTGCTTCCACTGTAGGTTTTTGTGAACCTGTCGCCTCCTGCTTTTCATTTCACCTCCCTTCTCTGTGTTTTTTGGCGTTTTGTGTGGCTCCGCCCCGTCCCCCTCTCCCCCCTCCTCTTCTGTGTGCCCTCCCCCCTCCCTGCAGGCTGCTGCGAGGCTTATTGGAGAGGTAAATGGGACTGAAAGCCTCAGTGTTCATGTGGGGGAACCACAGCCTGGTGTTTAATGTTAACGTGGGTTTCTAGGCGGTTGTTGTCACTCAGTAGTCAGTTTGCTCTGAAGTGAGTTAGTTATCAGCTGTGGGGCTTTAACGGGCAGATTTATCAGGACTTTTTTAACCTGTTGGTGGAAAAAGGAAGGAGGCGGGGTTTCCTGTCATGACGCCGTGCTTCCTATTTTCCAGGGACGTGTCGGTGGAGCTGCCCTTCATCTTAATGCATCCTAAACCTCCGGAGCCGCCGGCGTCCCGCCCGCAGTCAGGTGAGTCTCTGCAGCCTCGTATGCGGATTCACCATGGCACTGAGCATCCGTTTCCATGGAAACGGCAGTGTGACATGCTTGTGTGTGTGTTTCAGCTGTGCCAGAAACTGACCCGCCCATCGACACCAATTTGATAGAGTTTGACACAAAGTGAGTTTCCAGGCTTTATTTTACATACAAACAGAAACCATGACAACCAGCACTAACATGACGTCACTGATTAAACTGAGCATGTGTGAACTATAGCACGCCATAACGTGGAGCTGACTGTCAGCAGCTGTCGGTGTTCAATACCCGAAAGTCTAAAAATCCTAATGAAACCGTTCACGTCTGTAAAATGAATCCACGGACGTGAACGGTTTCTGCTGCGAGACATGACGAGTGGGTCTTGAATCTGTGAGCGCATCATTAATGCTGAAGGGTTGGAGCTAGCGTCTGTCAGCAGCAACATCTGGAGCCGTTTACAGCAGCGGCGTGAGGTGGAAAACTTCACACATGCTCAGTTCACACGTGACGTGCTGTTGGTGCTCTATGGAACCTTTCACAATAAAACTCGTCCTTTTCATCCTTCAAGCAGCATCTCGCAGGACGATGACTTCGTCTTCGAGGACTTCGCCCGCCTCCGGCTCAAAGGTGTTGTGGACGACAAGGACGAGGACTGCTAGGAGCTCGCCAACCCCTTCATATGCTCGCTTCAAAACCACAACACACACACACACACACACACACACACTCACACACTGTTCACATTCCCCAGGGATGGATGAGGGTATATTTGGACGGAGGCCTCGGAGGGGCTGGGTGGTGTTCTTCCTCTCTTGCTTCAGCCATTCGTCACGCCACCTCTGGCATTTTTCCGCCGTCTTCTCCATCTGTTGTCTCTCGTTTCTCTTTTTTGCTAGAAATTCTAAATGTTAAGCAGCTGCAGGACAGATGTTGGCACTGTGGATGGGAACCTGTGCTGCTCGTCGTGGGCGGGGCTTTGAGATAGAAAGCAGGAAGCTAAAGAATCAGCAGCGTTCGTCCGCTTTGTTTTTGAATGTTTCCCGACGATCACCGTCCTGTACAAACAGAATATATATTTGGAAAAAAAATTGTTCGGTGGTGATCGCCGCTTTCCTTCGAGTAAATCCTGTAGATAGTTTTTCTCGCGGTGGCTGCAGCGAGAGGAAATACATGTGCACACAAACACACACTCAGAGAAGTCTTACAAGCGACTGAAGTTCGATTTCACCAGCATCCGCTCTCCTCCTGCTCCAACTGTCGTCCATGTTCAGAAACGTTCACCGTGTTCTGTCGGCTTTTTTTAATAAAAAAAACATTCCAGTGCGGACACTTCATTCAAATCCCAGAGATCATTTTGCAATCCTGCTTTTTAAGAAATTACATGAAAAGACGACAACCAAAACTTTATCCACCCTCTCCGTGAGTGGAGCTAATTTAACTCTTTATTTTGGATTTAATCCTGTTAAAGCTCAACAGTAAGCTGGTAGTTGTCTGAATACTGTTGTTGGTTAAGAGAATGAAGACGTGTAATTGCACCAATGTGACAGCGAACAAATTGAAGCTAAAAACAAAGCATATAAATCTGAGATGGTACAGGGGACCTGATCACTGAGAGTCACGATTCTTCATTTATATCCTGGGTTGTTTTAGTTTCTCTGATGGAAATAAAGAAAACTCTTGAGTTTAGTCACACTGGAATCTTTTTTTTCCCCTTGAACTTTGGACTGGATTTGGAGGTCGAGTCACTGGATAGGTTTTTTACCTTTCTTTGATCTGTTTCTGTTTATTTCATTTCCAGATTTACAGTTAAAGTCAATGAAACTGATGCTAAAGTCTGTTTCTCCTGTTGCTTGTTAAAATAGAAACGGTCTGAGACTCGGTGCGGCCGGTTTAACTCGCCATTGTCAGCTCATTGAAGGGAAACTCTGGTGCTCGTTGTTTGGTTTGTTGTCTTCACTCACTGGTCCAAACTCACTTTGAACAAGCATTTAGATGAAGTTAGTATGAAGCTTCACCTCAGAGTTAGGTCATCACAGGAAGCTGTGCCTTTAAGGCTTCACTGTTGCCAACACGATGATCTATGAACTTTGGTGACTGACAAGAACTCAGCTTTTTTTAAAAAGAAAAATTGTTGGTTTAAAACGTTTGGGCAAACTTGGGATGTGTCAGTTTAGAAACACTGCGTGGTGTTATTTTTCTCTAATTAAGTTCATATAAGTTCAGGTCTTACATTTTAGTTTCAGGGGATAAACCATTAAATATTTTTTTTTAGTAAATATAACTTTAAAATTAATATTAACTTTTTAATAAAATAAAACAACCACATATTCTTATAATTTCTAATCGTTGAGAGCTTTTCTTTATTTTATTGTGTAGATTGCAAAGATACATTTTAAATTAATGTCACCATTTTCTTTTCTGGAATTATTTCCAATCTGGTAACAAATATTTCTGTGGCCTTTACTGTTGTTTAGTTTGTACTGTGATGATACAATATTTGGGGGTTTGTCCGGGATTTGGCAGTTTCAGTTATTTCTAGACCATCAAACACAGATTACTTAAATCCCACTATTGTTTTGTTTGACACATTGAAAGATGCTGATGACGGTGAACAGACTTACTCACTTTAATGTTGACCTGTTCAAATTTGACTTATTTCCTGTGAATGTTCGTATTAAACATGGTTGAAGTTTCTGATAACCAATTGGTCAATGATCCGTAATCCTGCAGCCAAATGCTCAGTTTTTTTTGTTTTTCCTACTCACATCTGTATGATGTCATGCAGAGCAGATGTCCCTATTATGATCATCTCAGGACACAGAAACCATCTCATGTTCTGACCAGAGGCAGCCAATCAGAAGAAAGTTGTCTTAAAGTGGAAGTGAGAGCTCAGTACAAGATAAGGATTATTTAGAGCTGTGAATCACGCAAAGCTGCTTTGCTAGATTCTCATAGAGACCAAGGATAAAAATGCAGAGCTGGTAATGAGCAGTATTGATTCACTTTGAAATGTTTTTCACACCTTTATTCTCAATATGTGACCAAAACATAATGATCTAAAAATGAAACCATAAAACTTTTTTTTAAAGGTTGATGCCAAAGGAAATGTATAAACTTGAGAAGCTGAAGTTGTTTAAAATAGTCCAAAATGGACCAAAGCATCAACACAAACATGCATAAAAAGACCACTGGGCAGTCGTGTTGAAGAGAAATGAACTGAAACTAAAGGCAGTGCTGTGCTGTGTAGTACCACGAGATAGTGCTGTGAGTCTTTGCTGGACCTTGATTTCAAATCTGGTCCAGAGTTTGGATTTAGGTGTTTTGGCGAGTACCCGGTATGTCTGCCATAATGTCTACAAAACAGGAAGTGATTTCTGCTGGTGGGACGGACAGAGAGCAGCTTAAAAGTAGCTGCACATTGACTCTCTGCTTCATCTTGTGGTCCAAAGTGCAGCCATGCTGCTCTTCTTCACGTTCTTTTGAAACTTTAGCTCATTTTGGAAGCTTTTAAACAGTTTTTAAAGCACGTTTACTTACAGGAAGTAACTTTAGGGTGCCATGAGAAACATAACAGCCAAAATGAACCAATCAGCACCAGTGTTTCCGTTCTAAATCCACCTCACCGACATCCCGCCTTGCCCTCTCAAGACCATCAAACCATTTAAGTGATCTCTTTTCTTCCCTCCATCCAAACTCGGACACGATGTGAAGGACTTCAGGTTTTAGATGCCAGCTTTCCAAATCTGTTGCTTTTATTCTAGGCTTTATTATCGTTATTATTAATGTTATTTTGTTAATGATTTTTGGCCCCAAATCCCCGTACAGATCAACATTTCAGATGAACACGAGCACTGCACTTTCATTGGATGAAAACCCCGCAGAACTGCAGACGTTTTATTTCAGAAGACGAAGACGAATGTTAACATTTATTTTTCCCTAAAATTGTTTGTCGGGGTTTCACAACTTGAACTTTCTGTTTTGTTCAATTTTAAAACTGCCAAATTTCCCTCCTTCCCACCCCCCCTCCTTCCTTAGCTCAGTCAAACGTTACAGCTGTGACCCTAAAAGAAGACGTAGATGAAGAAGCCGACTCGGAGCATGATTTGAATTCCTTTGTTTGAAATTTTGTTTCCAAGCAGTGCTGTGAATCGTACGAGCTGTGATTCTGTCCTTATTTTGTCGTGCATATGTGGGGTAACTTTGCTAAGTGTGAAAATATTTTGACAAGTGCCACGCCCCGGCCTGTGCGATGCTTACCATAATGTCTATAAAACAGGAAGTGATTTCTGCTGGTGGAACGGACACCAGAACAGATAGATCTATGATTATTATGCTTCTGATTATTATTATTATTATTATGGTGACTTCTTATTATTCTACTGTATCATCATTGCGACCATGATTATTCTCATAATCATTTAAGAGTCTATTGTTTCGCCATGTATTTTTTATGTTGAGATTTTTATTTTAGTTTTCTTTTTATTAAAGGTAAAAAGAACTAACAGACA